AAAAAAAAAAAAAATAGTAGATGAGCAAGGTTTTAAGAACACCATGTAAATACACTGAATCTGACACCATGTTTAGTTGTAGAATAGGCAGAAATCACAGTAAATTGCTTGTCCGTTTAAGATTTTCAGTGTCCTATTAACAGTTCTTTAAAGCATCTTTCCACAGCCTGCTTCTAGTGAAAAACAAATGAAGTCTTTAGATTAATGAGTTCTGAAATATTTTTCACATTTGTGAAGGTGAACTTTGACTAATTTAAAAATCTAATTCAATCAGGCAAGGAAAGGGTTAACAGGGTTGCCACAATTATTCTTTTGAGAAATGTGAGATGCGAGGAAAAAGAAAAGTTACCGCTGTAGCTCTAAAACAGACACTTAATTATATACAAGTTTGAATCATTTAGCACGTTTTATTGATTCTGATGACAGTTTATCTGTTAATTACACATAATGGAGTCTTTGGGGGATTCTTCACGTTTAATAATTCTCGTTCTCTGAGAATGCAGAGCTGTAAGATATATGTAGTTAGCCTAATCTTTCATATAATTCAAATAACAGGTCACACGCACACAAAAGAGAGGAAATGTAATTTACAACCAAGTGGCTAAAAACATATGATAAAAAAAAAAATATGGCAAAGTAATTAAAACGTTGGTAGCTGTAACCAGGAACATGTTTTTAAAACTCGTTTGTATTTTGTTGTTTTTTTCTGTTACCCTGTCAGTTTTAAATTGTTTCATCACATCGTTGGTAAACTGACCACTATTTACATAACACACTTCTCTAAAAGAGTTTTGAATGATCTGGAACAGAGAGGCTTATTGGTGTTTCCCCGCTCAAGACTCAACTCCTGCCTGCCTGTTTGAGCCAAGAGAAGGAACTCTCCCACGTGGTTAATGTTGCTGGTGGTGGAGTGGAACCCAGGACATTCCTTGGTACTTAACCTAGCCTTTCCCTATGGATAGTTGCTAGCTAGGCTTCTCTTCACTCTGGACCCTTTCAGAAATGACAATCCCATCCACTTCCTATGTGCCTTCTCATAGCAACAGCACACGTAATTGTCAAAGATGTCTAACGGTTGGTAATGTTAGTGAGGGAAAAACTGTCATGCAGATGACAACATGGGCTATTTGTTTTCTATTTTTACTCTTAAATGCTGTCTGAAGGGAAATGGGCACGGACACACACTCACGGTGAGTGTCCAGGTACAAAACAAAAACAAACAAAAAAGCACACCAAAAAAAAAAAAAAGAGAGAGAGAGAGAGAAAGAAAGAAAGAAAGAAAGAAAGAAAGAAAGAAAGAAAGAAGGAAAGAAAAAAGACCTTGCACATAAGGGAAGGGAGAGAAGGTGGGACCTACTCAATCTGTCCCGGAACTCAAAGCACTCTGCGTGAAAATGGGAATAAATGGGTGGGGAAGAGAGGAATTACATCCTCACAGACAAAATTAACACGAAAAAACTTGTCCCATCGGACCAAAAAAAAAGCAGAATAAATATGATAAATACACCACATATTAAGTACCTGTTTGGGGTGACACTGCCTTATTTCATGTGGCACTGGTAGTGTCACAGTTCGGCTTGACTCAGGTTTCTTTGAATCACATTATGCTGCCAGAATGCGTGATGCTGCACATGGCATTTCCTTTTTTTAAAAAGTGAGTTATAATTATCCCCTGAGTTCATGTTATTCAATTTGCCATCTTCACCAAGAACCTTCTCTACAACATTTTTAATGAAGACATTTCTAGATGCATCTAGAGCATTCTATTTTACAAGGGACAGAACCGATTATTAGAAGTGTCCTCTTCAGATCTTCCCAAATCTGTCTACAACTTCCATTCTTTGGTCCTGTTCCTAAGTATCTAAACGTCCTTCTCCATGGCAGATCTCTAAAAGCCGGAAGTGAGCTGCAGTCACTTCAGCCCCCGCCCCAAGCCTTGCCTTCCCCACTATTCTTGCCCAGCAGGAGATATATTATAGGATGTCACAGGAAATGAGGCGAGAACAAATAGCAGAGAGATATGCTCACAAACAGCAATTAAGACTTCAAACTATTCTTTAAAGGCTGTGATTTAGCTTGAGAGATTTAAAAATGATTTAATCAAATTACTATGATAATTTAACTTCCCATTTACAGAAAAGATTCTAACTCATTCTAGCTTTACCCATTCTCGGATCTGCTAATACTTTAAATGCAAACTCACTAAATCTGAACTATTTAATTAGACCATGATTCAGCTGGCAGACTGCTGAAGAAAATATTAATCTCCATTAGGGATCCTAGTTCAAGTTCTGGCTCTGTGGCTTTAATCTCTGTTTTGTTCTTTTGGCTACATTTATACATTTATGCCAGGCTCAATAGAACTGGCATTAATTTATGGAATTATTTAGCATTGGTTGTTAGTGCTGGTTTCTTTTTAACTTTATATTTTAAAGGAAACAGCCCCAGTATTTGTGCTAATGAAAAGCAGCAAAATTTAATAAAGGGAATCATAGGCTTATGAACTAACTAGATAGGGTGAGGCTGTACATTAAAAACACTGGGTCAATGGTTAAGAAAACTAGGATGTCTGGGCCCAAGCCCAGGCCTATTATCAGAATATTGGAGCTAGATCCAAGGCATCTTCGGTGGTTTTAAACATCTAGGTGCTTCTATGGCCAAGCCAGGGTTGTTGAACTATAAAACCATACTGCTAAAAGAATCCAGATTTCAAAAGATAACAAACATTCAAATGATACATACATTGTCACCCATATATTAAATTTCAGCACTTAGTAATAAAATAGAACCCTCTCATTAAGTGCCAATATTTTACTCTGTGAAGTGAGATCCTAAAGGAACATGTCTAGCTGAGACCATTTACTTTGGGAAGAGAGCTGAATATCCTCACACCTACAGCTGCAAAATTCAGTGAGACTCAGAGCCATTGCAGAAGATTTTATTTTTGTATTTCACCTGTAATAAAATACTGCCTTTGTCTATGGTAAAAATTTTAACTATTGTGGGCATGGGCATAGCTACTCCAGAATGTCCAAATCCTATCTGGGAGCTGTCTTGAAGACAATATTTTCTTGGCAATATTTTCTTGGCAATACTTTCTCAATGGTTCCAAATAAATTTTGAGGGTGGAAATGAATATTAAAAATAGGCAAAGCATATTCAGAGCAAAGTCTAGTACCTAATATAAATCAACACTCAGAGTAACCGTTTTTTTCTGTGGAACCCAAGTGTTGATTTCTTTAGTGTTTGTAAATTGCCTACATGAATAGGGGAAATGAAAGGTGAGCCAATGAGACTCTCTGATCACTAAATGAATGAAGCACAACATGATGGAAAAAGAAGTGAGCAAAGGTCTGTTTTCTAAAAGATAATTTGATCTCAAAAGTTTTATTTTTTTATTTTTTTTTTCTTTTCAACGTTTATCTATTTTTGGGACAGAGAGAGACAGAGCATGAAGGGGGGAGGGGCAAAGAGAGAGGGAGTCACAGAATCGGAAGCAGGCTCCAGGCTCTGAGCCATCAGCCCAGAGCCTGACGCGGGGCTCGAACTCACGGACCGCGAGATCGTGACCTGGCTGAAGTCGGACGCTTAACCGACTGCGCCACCCAGGCGCCCCAGATCTCAAAAGTTTTATATGCAATATATGTCTAATAGTGACTCTCGTGGTTGCAATCAGCTGGAAATTGA